ATTAACTTGCAGCTGGGAAGAGCAGAGAATCTTTATAATATAGGCCAGATATAGACTGATGTAGAAACGTAAAAGTGGCGGTACATACTAACAGGCTGACATGAATACTCAACACAGCCATTTTAGAAGGTTCCCCAGTCTCCGTCATTCACAGGGCTGGCAGATGCTGTGTGTCCTTGAACAAATCATATTCTCTCTTAGACCCTATCTCTATACCTAGAAATTGAAGGGAGTAGCCCATAGGAACAGCACAGGCCACATGGCACTATGTTTAGACTCTAATTGGATTTGTTGCCAAATGGAGAAGCAATCAGAAGAAGGAAGAGAGATCTGTTATGTACTCTTGAGCAACTGTTGCAGAAGGAGGGTAAGATGGACATTGTAGAGCTGAGAGAAGGCAGAAGCTCTTCTACAAGCACCAAAAAGGCCTGGTTCTGGGAAGAACCTGTCCTTAACCATGAGAAGATGATACTTGATGTCCATATTGTCCCATCCCTTTAGGGAAATATATTCTTGCCCTACATTTTAATTACATGATTTAAATGGTAAAAAGGATTACAGGCTGGTCCTCAAATTCAGGCTACTTGTTGGAGCTTATTGGTAGGCTGCCTGGACTGAGATGACCTCTACCCAATAAATTTCTAAAGGGAAAATTCCATGATGCTACAGTTCAAGAAATATACATGAATTACCAAGCACAACACTGGTACATAGTAGATATCTAGTAGCTATCTACTAGAAGTCAGGAAAGATGTGCTTGCAACAAGTCCAGGACAGTTTTTCAAATGATCTATCACCTCTTTTTCTAGTGCTAACAATTCAGAGAACTTGCTAGAGATTTGAGACTCTCTCTCATTAGCCACATTTTTCACAATATATTGACAAAAAGTTACTGTATAATTTCCAATGCCATAAAAAGTAGACATCAAATCAATAGACAATTAAAGAGCCATTAATAAAAATATGCAGACTATGTTCTTAGGATAATGCAAATGAAATAAAATTAAGTAGGAAGCTCAAAGAAAAATTATTATATACTCTATAATTACTATAGTGGTTACATGTGGAAAGATTTAAAATAGGCCAAGGAATAATAAAAAAATAGTTGTTTAAGGAAAAAGAATAAAAGTATAATTCCTTGTGAAACTGATTTAATAATACATTCTTTTTTCTATTGAAAATATCATTGTACTTTTTCTCATTGTTGTTAAAAATGCACACCATGCAGAGAATGTAAAAATCCCTATGTAATCTCAACCCCCCCCCCAAGGGGTAACCGCTTTTAGCAGACTGCTGGAATATGTTCATATTTTTAATGCATATATAAACTTACACATATTTATTCACAAATAGAATCCTATTCTGCTTGCTTTGTATAATTTTTTAATATCAATCATTTTTATGATACAAGCTCATAAGATCTTTAAACAACAACGAATAAATAATTTAGATACAAATAATTCTAGAGGTTCATATACAAATGTCAAGGCATGGCCTTTTCCTCAACTTGCAGGAAGATTCCAATCAGGTATTTCCCAACAGTTCCTATATGCAGCCTAGTAACCGAGCTGTGTCCTCCAAGGTTGGGAGGGAGGACAGTAGTGGATGGTGGGGGAAGGGGAGTGGGACTCAGCCCCATCTGTCATTTTGTGCCTGACCTGTCAAGGCAAAGCTCCATGGACTTCTCCACACTGAGGAAGGAGAAGTTGCCTCTTGTTAATTAAATAGATGTGGAGCCCAGGGAGCCGATAAGTGAGCCGCACAGGGTGAAAAGCTGTCACATATGTGCCAGCGGACCCCACAGACTCGGTTTTGATGTTCTGAGTTTACACCCTACTTTCCAAGGAGACTGCTATCCATATTCTCCAGGTCGTGAGTCTGTGCCGTCTCTCCCAAGGGATGCTTCACAGCTATCGGAGGTTATTATTCATTATCCTCATGTCATTCTAGCTAATAGGACTGAAGGTTTCCTGAGGTCATATGGCAGTGCTGCTTCCTCTTTGAACCAGGCAGGCTGGAAAACTTCGCTCTCCTTCTGCGCTGTAGCTACAGGAGTAATGAGGTAATGTGAGGTTATGCAACTCAGCATATGGCATTTCCTTGGAGAGCAGAATTGTCGGAATGAGGCCTAGCAAGTTAGTCGTTAGGTAAAACAGCCTCACTGCAGCCTCTCAGATACACTAGAATTGCTATTTTTTAGCACAGGCCTCATAGACTTGAGGACCTAGGAATGCCAGCCACTGGAAGCACTTGCGTTTTTCTGAGGTAAGAGTCAAATGCATGCATCAGGTCCTCACAGAGATTTGTGATGCCCTAAAATGTAAAATCCCATTACGTTATAGATCCTAGACCTTCCATCGCAGACACTATTGGTGCTCTAGCCAGATTCCCTCTGATTCTTTCACTATTGCAGCACACTTCCCTCATTTCCATGGTGCTTTTGCTTCTAAAGACACACTTGTGACTCTTTGCAGAAGCACTTTGCTAACTTGTGCAGAAAGCTGATCTATCTGGAGTTTATGTCCCCTGGTGAAGAAGTATAAAAGCCCAACTCCCTTGCCTCCAGTGGGGACAATCTGATGTGTCTTTTACACTCTAGGGTGCCTGTGGAATCTTGTTGAAGTTGGAGCTTTGTCAGAAATTGCTTGGCTTCTTCCCCTTCCATATCTTATTTCCCTCACTACCTGCCTGGATTCTCCTGGGGGCCCTTTTTAATAAATCACTTACACACAGGTCCTGTCTCGGGGTCTCCTTCTGGGAAACCTGTCCTCAGACAACTGCATACAGAACGCCAGCAGGATATCAACAGCCTCTTTGCCCTCGAACTTCTTACAAAACAACTGATCACAGCCTAGGAGTGAGATAGGTTATCATGGACAAGCTGGAGGTGCAACCTGTAAGAGGAAATGAAAGAAAATAAAGCAGATGGATGGGCATAGAAGTGGGACAGAGAAAAGGCAGAGGGAAGAGGAAAATAAGTTTGGTAAGAAATGATAAGAGAATCATTCATTTATTGTTCACTTGGTATTATGTTACACTGGAAAAGGTTCTAAATAAGAATGAAAGGACCGCCCTGGCTGGTTTGGCTCAGTGAATAGAGCGACGGCCTGCGGACCAAAGGGTCCCAGGTTCGATTCCGGTCCAGGGTACATGCCCGGGGTTGCAGGTTCAATCCCTAGTAGGGGGCGTGCAGGAGGCAGCCAATCAATGATTCTCTCTCATCATTGATGTTTCTATCTCTCTCTCCCTCTCCCTTCCTCTCTGAAATCAATTTTAAAAAAAGAATGAATGGACCTAGATTCTTGTTCAGACTCCATAAGTTATTAACTGTTTGGCCTTAGATTAGTCACTTAAATTCTCTGAGCGTTGGTTTTCTTACTGTAAATCAGAGATCATACTACCAAATTCATGAGATTACTGGGAGAGTCAAATAAAACAATGGAAGTCAAAATACCTTTAAGTTGTAAAGCATAATGAAATGTTATCTTCCCTTAGCAGTTTTTTTGTTATTATTATCATTATTTGGACAAAATTACTACTTGACTAAGTATAAAAAGCATTTAAGATTTGATGCTGTCATACAAGAGGTTTTCATCTAACTGGAGAAACAAAACAACAGCTAAGTATGTATCTGTACACAAAAATATGTAGACAATGAGGGCAAAAAAAGATTTCAGAATATGGTGAGGTCAGAGTTGCGCTGAAAGGCATAGGCACTAAGTCATTTTTTCCTAGTAGAGGCTTCCATGTTCACCTTTATGGGTCACACCTCACACTGTTGGAAAATGCCAGCCTTTTCCAGCAGATTGTAAGTATAGATCATATCTGAGTCATTCACCCAAGAATCTCCAATGCCTAGCACACAGTTAGGGCACAATAAGTATTTCTTAATGAGTAAGTGGTAAGAGGTGGACATTATAGGGTAGCTTGCATTTTAATGGACAATTGAAAAATATATTGTAATGTGAGTGAAACTGGAAACAGTGGATAAACCTAGTTAGACTCAAACAGGGTTCATGCCCCTCATTGTGGAAGGATAATTTGGAGATATAGGGTAAGAGCCACACCATAAAATTGTTTGACTGCCAAAATGATGCTTAGAAATTAGCCCATTGGACTCACTGGAGGTTTTGTGGTAGAACAACGTGACGGAATCGTGCAATAGGAAGGTCATTCTGGCAGTGGGTGTGGATGTGCTGTGGGGATATGTTGGTGGGATGCAACCCAGTTGGAGAGCTGATGCAGGCATTGGGGGACAAGCAGTTAGGCAAAAGAGCAGTGGTTGTCCAGAGGTACAAAGCACTGCCATAGGTCACCTATTCTTGTCCAAAATTCCCTTTTAAGACTTAACCAGAACGTTTGTGGTAAAGGTGATATAGTCTCAATTCCTCACTATTTTCCAACAAGTGATTTGGCAAAGAGTAGATTTCCATAGCACTAGAAGGTAAACTC